AAAGGCTCTATGGCTACTCCATGCTTTGATCTCCCTCTTATCACTGTCGCCAAGAAGTACAGGACAGCCATCTTTAGCCGATTCCTAGTGTCACTATACCTCATCCCTTGAAGTGCTTTTAACACAACTTCAGCTGTAATTTTTTCGTCTTTAAAATGGTTCCTAGCAAACCTCTCGCCACCTAACTTAGGGTAATTCGCTGGATACTCGTGGCAGTACAGTCCCGAGAGGAGAGCATGCTCTCTGATGGAGTATCTAATGGGCACTCCATTTACCACAAACCAAGCCTGTCTACCCTTCTCCGTTTGTACCGTGCGTAGAAGCAACATCCACAGCCCCATCACCTTTCTTGTTGCATAAGTCTTCATGTGAAACAGGTGCTTGAACTGCGGGTGGTTCAGAAACCAACTCTTCTCATCCTCTTCCAAAGTTGGAAATACTTCCTCCTTAAATTTGTGTTGCAAGCATTTGGTACTTAGCTTACATCCCTTTTGGTATTCGATGGGATTGAAGAAATATCCGAGAGGCCGCATTGGTTCTTCCACATCATCATCGTCATGCTGCAAAAATAAGAAAACCGATTTAGTACGACTACTGTCAAACTAGTACGACTAGTACGATTACTAGGCCAACTGCTATCAAACTAGTACGACTAGTACGATTACTAGGCCAACTACTGTCAAACTAGTACGACTAGTACGATTACTAGGCCAACTACTGTCAAACTAGTACGACTAGTACGATTACTAGGCCAACTACTGTCAAACTAGTACGACTAGTACGATTAGTATGACTACAATCTAGTACGACTAGTTGACCTACTCCTACTACTCAGACTCGACATTTCATGCAATCCAATTATACTAGTTGAACTAGTTGAACTACTCATACTAGTCGGACTAGTTAGACCCAATTATACAATAAATTAGAGTTTACCGATGGTGGTGGTGGTTGCGACGATGAACCGATTGCCGGTTCTGAAATCGAAGGCAGGCCGGTTGCCGGTTGCACCGCCGGAGGCAGACTTTCTTTTGCTGGTTCAGTCACCGGAGCCACCGGAGGCGGAGCACTGGACTTTGACTTCCGCGACTTCTTCTCTTTTCCTCGCGGTGCCTCCGGACGCTTCTCTCTCTTTCTTTTCTTCTTCGCCGGTGGATTTGAACTCGACGGCAGGGGATTTTCTTCTTCTCCTTCGGTCACCGGACCCGGCGGAGGCGGAGCACTAGAAGTTTCTTCTGTTGATTTCGATTTCTTCTTCGGCTTCTTCTCTTTTCCTCGCAGTGCCGCAGGAGGCTTCTCCGTCTCTGTTTGCTTCTCCGCCGGAGGATTTGAACTTGACGGTGGCAGTGGCGATGATGTATGATCCGGTGAAGGCGGTGTTCTAAACCGAAGCCATTTCGTACACGCCATGAGATTGATAAGTGGAAATTGGTGGAAATTGGTGGTTTATCGGAGAAGATGAAAATAGGAGTTGGTGGTTTCTGAATCGGAGAAGATGAAGTTGGAAAGGAGGCAGTTTGATCGAAAAATCAGGGAAGGGAAAGTTGTTTTTGGTTTGGGTTTGAGCTAGATTTAGATTTAGGTTTAGGCCGATTTCGATTTATGTTGGGCAAAAACCCAATATATATTATTTGGTTAGTGTCCGTAATTTAGAGGATTTCAGATACCCTCCATCGTCATTTCACGCATTTTGATTTTAAATAAAAAAAAAAAAAAAAAAATGTACTTTACTTGTACAACTCTAATTTTGACCCCCACCAACAATTTGAACGATGAAAATAAGAGCGTATACCATTCGAAGTATACATAATAATAGAGTTTTGGAATTCAATTTCCTTTACTGATCTTTTTTACAATATCCCCGAGGCATTACAAAAGGCTCTCTCGCTCTCTCTCTCTCTTAACTCATGCTATCTCAAAGTACATATTAAATCAATATTCTAGAATATTAGAATTTGTAAAACTGCTAAACTTTGGTGGCAGCTAAGTTCCAAACACGCAGCTTCCCACTCTTGTCTCCACTGAATAAGAGTCCGTCTGGACTAATTGTGAGTGTGCCGATGGTGTGCGTCGAGAACATCTTTCCTCTTTCTTTAAAACTGTGTAACCCAAAACAAGGAAGGAATGATTCAGAATTTGATCAGAAAGAATGAAAAAATGATTACAACTAAAGTTACAATATAATCAGAGTGACTCTAGGAGTAAGATTCACTTACGATGGTAGATCGTAGATGCTCACTGTCCCGTTTTGGTAAGAGCAGAACATGATCGGTTTGACCTCTGCGTCGTTCATCCCACAAAGAGCATGCACACTCTGTTTCAAACAATCATAAATGTTTTTTTGTTAGAACCAAAGTTGTTGTTATGACGAGAGTGAGAATAGTGGGGGCTAAGCTAAAGTGTATTTACCTGTTCTTGTCTGCGCGTCTCCACAACTTTAAAACTGCCATTTTCAGAACAAGCCCATACTTTTATGGTTCCATCCAATGAAGACGAATACAGAAACTGATCCCAACATAAGAGCGACGTGACAGTGTCCGTATGTTGCCTCAGGGTCATTGTACATTCCAGTGTGTTGAGATCCCACACCTTTATTGTTTTATCCACGGAGCCAGAGTATAATCGCTCTCGTCCAACAATAAAACACGTGACTTGACCACTATGGTGTCCCTCGAGGGTTGTGAGGTATGTGAACGGATCAGAATCTGTGTCAGTAGCTTTCCAGACTGATATGCTACCAGACTGCAATTCCAAAAAGACAAAAAAAAAAAAAAAAAAAAAACTTACTTTAGATCGATTATCAACGAAGCAGAGAACTAACACAGAGTAGAAAAGCAAGGGAAAATGAGTAAAGATTCTTACACTTGTCCCAGCAAAAAGCATTCCATTTGCAACAGTCATAGCATGGACCTGACCAACCACCCCGTTAAGATGCAGTTCTTTACTGGTTTGAACGTTAAAAGCCTGCAGGATTGTATACACAAAAGTTTTGAGATCAGAATCAAAAATAACAATCACACCGAGCAAAGAAGAATAACATCAATGTTAAGAGAGGCCCTGAACTAACCTTTACAGCATTTGGCAAGCCAAGGAAAACCCATGAGCCTTCGCTGATTAGAGATCCTGCTTCTGCTTGGAGGTTGGTTGTGTGAACACACTGGCCAGTGTGGCAGTCCCATATGCGCAATGTACCATCGCTACTGGCGGAAAAGAGTTTATCTGAACCCATAGGAAGTGCAATCCCTTTTAGATCCTATAGACAAAAAAGTTTAACATGTTAACAAGATACGTTTTCTATTTAGTAAACAGCAAGTAGAATGAAAAAGCTTAAAGTACCTTCTTATGTCCTTCAAGAGAAGCTACCGTGGCCATTCCAGGGAAGCAACACCAAGAGTGCAAAAACTGGCATTGATCACCCCTCTTGCAGTTTCCAGCTTTCCAAAACTTACAAATACAATCCCTAGGCTTAGGACTGCCATTATTTCTCGACCCCGAACCTCTGGTGTCCGAAACAGATGAGCTTCTTTGCACATACCCACCATTCTTTCTAAGCTGGTTAGAAACACTAGGTCCTGTGCCTAAGACTGCTGGTTTCGATGACCCATGGGTGTTATCGTTCTTGCTTCGCCTGTTGCCATCTGATGCCGTCCAAACCAGATTCCTTGACCACTTAGACGGACCTTTGTTCATCCTATTCTCGTAAGGAGCATAGTGTCTTCTCGGAACTATATCCGCTGCAAAACCTTCTTGTCTTTCCACTCCAAAGTCCCTCCTGTTTGAGTATCTCCTTGGCGCCTTGTGATTCATTCTATAAACATTGAGAAGAAACTAACTTTAGAAGACTGAACCACAGATTCGAGCGCTGTTGCTTCATCCATGATGTTCCCTCTCAGAAGAGTAACACGCTTCCAAGGAGTATGAAGATGATCAAAAGCTCCAATCTTCTGATACCCCCAAGTTCATGCTAACAATCGTCGAGCAGAAAATACTAAATAAACCTAATCTCCATTCAGAACCCTAATCTAATTTACCTAATTTCCCGAAGTATTCCTTCAATTCCAGACAAGCCACGGATGGTCGATCTTCCGAGAATCCATATGATTCGATGAATTCATAACCCTAACTATAAAACCCTAACTAACTATAACAACAATAAGACCCAATAATATAGAGCAGACCAACTTGATTCGATCATCCTTATCGGCGAAACCCTAGCCTCATGGGGTAATCGATGCGAATAGGAGGACGGAGATCGAAAAGATGAAGAAACCCAAATTGAAAGCACGAAGAAATCATCATAATTCCGATGATCCGTAGTCGAAGTAGAAGCAAACCTGAGAGATCAAATGAACGTAGGATCTAGATCTTCGATTCGGGAACAGTTTTCAATTCGAGAAAGACGAAAAAAGAGGAATTTTTTTACGCGGCGAAAGACAAAAGAAAGAGACGAATGAATTGGATCTTGCCTTCAGGTGTATTAATAATAGCTTGGAGGGTTCCTTGCTTCACTAAAAACTTATAATAGTTGGGCTCAACTTAGGCCCACAAATACATGGGCCGAAAATGTATGAGTCCAGGAAGATAACAAAATTTCGTTTGCTTGATTCGGTTATTCCTTCCGTATAAAATATTCTCTAGTGTTCGATTACAAGATATGGTTTCCGTAATCGGATTGATGAGATTCGATTTGATTCCAGTTGGACAAATTACAATAATTCTCTCGATTTTAGCCGGTTTTAATGACAAATATCAATGGGCCTCAAAGAATGGTATACACTTAGTCTCAAATTCGGTAAATTTGAAAGTCTAGAGAGTAGAGAGGCCAACAAAGACATCAATCCAATTAAACTATGACAAGATCATAGAATCATCAACTTCAGATAATAGTTTTTTGTTTTGCAGAAACCATAAATATCCTAAAACCTGTAAAGGTCTCCCGAGGATTCTCAACCAACAAGAAAAAACATAAAAAAAACATAATCTTAAGATGATCTCATACTCCTTATTTTCTCCAGCAGATTCACCATCACATCTTCAAGTTTCACTTTCACTTCTTCGGTCATTCCTCCATCAACTAATGATCTCATCTCCTCCAGCTTCTTCTTCACGTATTGCATATCCACAACTTCAGCTTCAGCTTTCTGTAGTGCTTGCCCTCCCTCCTGTTTTCACAAACCAACTACTTGACTGGTTTAAGTAGAAGTCTGAAGTACTCAGCTTGAAAAACAACAAAATCCCAGTGTTGATAGACTAAAACCAGTGCCGGCCCTGAGCCCGAGCAAGCTCATGTTTGCGGTCCTGTTTTTATATATAAAATTTCGACCCTTTATTCTGAAAAAAATCTCCTTGGTCTAGTGGCAGAAGTTACTCTTTTGGAGTTCGAGCCATAGGTTTTTGTATAATTTTTTAAAAATAAATCAAACCGGCTTATTTTTGATTTGGTCTTGCAGCCTTTAAAATGTCAGGACCGACTCTGACTAAAACAAGTTAGCTAGAAGCGTAATAAATGAGACAGCATGATTTGTGTTGTGCTACAGACCTGACAATTATCCATCGGTTGAAGGCATGCAATAACTCGCACTACAATTGGTAGTGTGTTAGCGTCACCTGTCTCGTACTTCAATGCTCGAAATCTTGTCTTACCAGGGGATTGGCACACCATTATTTTGGGGAAACCTTGAATGAGAATCAGACAGAGACCAACCAAAAAAAGAAACTTTTTTTTTCTTTGTGGAAGGAAAAAGGAAAACAGAATAGAAGGAGCTTTTTTTTGTCTAGCTGATTCGTTGTTCATAATGGTACACGTAGAAATGTTGGGATCCCTAAGTGGTCTAGATTGAGTACCGGATCAATCAGCGTCGACAAAACCAAACGATAACTTCTCTGTTTTCTACTATGAGATTCTCAACTCATCTGATCGTGCTTGTAGTCTCGCAAAGCAGGTTTGTATTGCTTTTTTCACTTTAGTATATTGTTTTTCCTGTCAATCAGGTGATATAACAGGAAATTCTATGTATAACCGCTATATCACATGTGTAGAGAGATCTCTGTAAAAGTTACTGAGCTACATCAATTATGTATATGAAATGTAACATTAAAAATATGGAAATACCCAAACATATAGGTTATTCATCGATCTATCATTTGATGTTAGAAAGCGACCAACATCACAAGTTGACATTAGCCAAAAGAGAATTGCAGTGGAAATCTTCTCAATCCACCTAAGCATTTGATAGCGATGATTCTAATTTTACTAAAGATTACTGCGATAGAATATCTATTTTGTAACCTTTGTCTTTTGCTTTTGATTTTCGTAATTTTTTCTCGCCAAATTGAATGCATTGCTATTACAAAAACTGAGAATAAGTCTGGACTTTTCTGGTGATATGTTTCTTTTTGTGGTTGTTAAACTCTGAATCCTCTGGAGGTTTTCGATTATGTTGCAGATTTCAAGCAGCGGGAAAGCATCATTCAATGGTTCTTATATTGGTCAAAACTGGATAAGCTTTTCCAGAGCATTCTGGTATTGATCTTTTCCTTTTATATTTGCTAGCACCAAGATCTTGCTATGCTTCTGTTCTAACGTTTTATTCTCCTTGATTCAGTTGGAAGTCTGCTGGGAATGATGTAATCGATATTGACTGTAGTGTTTGCAGCTAAAGATATCGGTTATTTGTCTCCTCCTTCAGCTTCGAAGAATAGAACTCTCAGTCCTTCTCTTAACACCTAATAATAACACGAATCATGATTTGGTCGAATTTGGAAAATCTGGAAAAGTTTGTGGAAGTCCAGTTAATTGAAAGTCTTTTATCCAAAAACTGAAACCAAAAATATATCATTATAAATCTTAATATTATTATTTTACAGAGATAATTTTTTGATGGTCATCAAAATTTTATAACAAACTATTTTAGATAATGCAATCTTTGTTCAAAAAATATAAAATATTGCATTCATCAATAAATTTGGAAAATAAGTAAAAAAAAATATTGATCATCAACCTATATTTATGATTAATAAATAATAATATCAACTATCAAAAAGAATAGTTTTAAGAGTTTACTAGACTATCTAGGTGAAAATAGCTTGATAGTTTAACATTTATAATAAATTATCATTGACAACTTGCTAATAAAATTACATCTCTATTGCCATTATTAATAGCGTGGAGGGCTTGCTTCGGTTATTGTTTGATTCGGTTAACAAAATTGTTTGATTCGGTTATTCCGTATAAAATATTCTCTAGTGTTCGAGTTATAGTCAAATTTGATATGGTTTTCGTAATCGGATTGATGAGATTCGATTTGATTTCTGTTGAGCCTTCAAAGAATGGTTTACTTAAGTCTCAAATTCGGTAATTTTGAAAGTCTAGAGAGTAGAGAGACAGACAAAGACATCAATCTAATTCTAACCTATGACAAGATCATAGTATCGTCAACTTCAAAGAATGGTTAAGTCTCAAATTCGGTAAATTTGAAAGTCTAGAGAGTAGAGAGACAGACAAAGACATCAAACTAATTATAACCTATGAAAAGATCATAGTATCATCAACTCCAGATAATAGTTTTTGTTTGTTTTGCAGAAAACATAAATATCCTAAAACCTGTAAAGGTCTCCAGAGAATTCTCAACCAACAAAAAAAAACATAAAAACATAATCCTAAGATGATCTCATACTCCTTACTTTCTCCAGCAGATTCACCATCTCATCTTCAAGTTTCACTTTCGCTTCTTCAGTCATTACTCCATCAACTAATGATCGCATCTCCTCCAGCTTCTTCTTCACGTATTCCATATCCATTGTCGTCTCTGCAATTTCAGCTTCAGCTTTCTTCTCCTCTGTTCTCTCATTAGGATACTTGAGTCTGAATTTAACTGTGGAAGTAGAAGTAAATGGGCATTTCTCTTGTGAGGATTCAAAGGCTCTTTCTCCATCAGCTATGTTCAAGAAGGTAACACGGGCGTAGAAGTTAGTGTCGAACATATCAGTTCTCTCTTCATCCAAAGCTCCAAACTTTTTATAAGTTTCGATCAGATCTTCCTTCTTAGGCAAACTCGAACCAGGACCAAATGTAACAAGAAGCTCAGCTCCTGAAAATTCCTTCTCAGTTTCTATCTTTCTCTTATCCACTTCCTGCTTCTTCGACTTTCCCTCTCTTTTCTTCTTCTCCTTCTTCTCGGATTTCTCAGTCTCATTCCGCAGTTCCTCTTCCTCATCTTTACGCTTCTTAGCTTTTCTCTCCTTCTTCTTTGACTCTTTCGACTCTTTCGACTCTTTCACAGTTTCTTCTTCCTCATCCGCTAACTTCTTTGATTCAGACTTCTTACGCTTTTTTCTCTCTTTCTTCGTTGACTCAATTGACTCTTTCAACGTTTCTTCTTCCTCATCCGTTTGTTTCTTTGATTCAGGCTTCTTACGCTTTCTCTCTTTCTTTGCTGTCTCACTCGACTCTTTGCGAGTTTCTTCTTCTTCACCCGCTTGCTTCTTTGATTTCGGCTTCCTCTCTTTCTTGTCTGTCTCATTCTCTTCTTTTCCAATTTGCTCAACCTCCTCTGTTTGCTCCTTTGCTTTACGCTTCTTATATTTTCTACTCTCTTTTCCACTAGTCTCAGCTTTGCCCGTCCCATTCAGTTCTTCCTTGTCTGTTTCTGAACTTTTATAACTCCCTAAGAACTTCCTATTGGCACCTTCATGATATGTGAAGCTTCTGTAGATGGACATGAACTCTCTTACCATGTCTTCTGAGCTACTGTCTTTTGGATATTGTGTACCAAGAGCCGATACACGAATTAGATCCCGAATCTCCTCTGGTGTAGCTCCCAATCTCAGAAAATCGACGGCGTTACTAAGTTCCTCTGACAGTTCTTGATGACCTATACCATTCTCCAATAACGAAGGTGAATCCACCTTATCCTCCTCTTCCACTTCCACTGCCACGAGGCTATCACTAGCATTGGTCATTTGCTCTTCTACTTGGCTCTCTTGGCTCTGAGTTAAAACTTTGGGAGATTCAGGTTCGATATTGCTCTTTTTTTTCCTTTTAGATGAAAAATCTGACAAGTACTCAGGCGAAAGATACTTGCTCTTCTTCCTCTCTCTCTTTGTTGTTTGTACGGATATCTCGCCATCACCAGCACTTGAAGCAGCAAACCTGACCTTTTTTCGCAGTGAAGCTAACGGAGTTGAATCATTATCCGTTTCATCATCCAAATTCTCCTTCTCACTCTCTTCTCTGTCTCCACTCCCATCATCATCCTCATCCTTTTTCTTCCTCTTCCTTGAAACAGTTTTGCCTTCACTATTTTCTTCCACTTGGTTTCCACCACCGTCGTCTTCAACCGTAGAAACTTCACTCATTCTTCTCCTCCTCGGTTTAGTGGTAGACACAGTTGCAAGCTCGCCATTAACTTCATCATGGCGTTTTACCTTTCTCCTACTCGACTTCACATTTCCATCCTCCGCCTCTGTCTCAAATCTCACCTTAGCACCAGACTCATTTTCCAATATTTCAGCAATGCTCTTCTGCTTCCTTCTGTGTTGCAGCCTATGATCAGGAAACCCAGAACACTTCTCTAACGATCTCTGAAGAGACCCTTGAGGACCCAACGCTCCTTCTTCTTCTTCTTCTTTACCTTTGCTCAAACGTTTAATCCCATCATCAATCTTCTCTTCTTCATCTTCATCATCGTCATCATCATCATCATCATCATTCTTGTCTTCAAGTCCTGGAACTGACTGTGGCTCATGATACTCGGTCAAACCATATCCTCTTTTAGACCGGTAAAACGCAGATACTTTCCTTTTCAGGATCTCCAGCTCAAGCAACCCGCTAAAACTAGCAGACTCTGCAAAGCCCTTAACATCTTCAAGAATCCCTTCAGGTTTTCCAACAAGCAAAGACGAGATCATCTCTCTTCTCACATCACGAACAGCAACGCCTTCTTTGATCCCGGCGTTCTTAACTTTCCGGTTATCGAGCTTCTCCTTCTCCTCCTCTTCACCACAATCACATAACAGCAAACGCTCAACGTGTCTACCCATTTCTTCTACCGCTTCTTCCACTGCACTTAGGAACCCTCTCGAATTGCTTACGTTTGAACAATCTTTGAAACTCTCTGCAAAAGGTTTCAATTGCGATGGACCGCACCAAGCGAATGAACAGTCTCCAAAATATGCAACAAGCAGCTTTCCCTTTTGCTTTATCTTCAAGGCCAAATCTGAAGCTTCTGACGGATCATAAATCTGACCTGGCCACCATGGATGGTTCTTGATTTTGCCCCACACGAAATCTCCTACATTGTAACCATGCTCTTCCTCTTCTCCTTCTTCATCTTCTTCAGCTTTAGCTTCGTCTCCAGCAATCTCCTTTTCCTCTTGAAGATTATCATCCTTATTAACATCCTGCTTCAGTTTTAGCAAAGACGAAACTCCATTCATCACACGATCTTCAACAACTCCTGAACCATTTAAGTTCTCCGTCTCCACAACAACGTTGTCCTTCGATTTGTTGTCGTCGTCATCACCAGCACCGTTTTCGGAAACCCTAACACCGTTCTCTTGAGTAGAATCCTCACCTGAGCCGTCTTGTCGTTTAGCTGATCCAATTTCTGAAGTACAAGCTTTAGGTCTTGCCTCCTCTCCGATTCCCAAAACAACTTCCATTTCCATATTCAGAGAAAAAAAGAAAGTTCTTGTCGACTGTAGGAAAAAAAAAATTAGAAAACGACAAACTAATCAGAAAAATCAACCGACCTAAAATAAAGGTAAACACTTCACCACGAACGAACAATATCCCCCAATTTTTTTTAAAAAATACCAAAATTAGGGTTTCTGAAAATCAAACGACAACAAATATTTCCAGAAGGACAAGTAAAATTAATTAATTACCTGAAAATTTTAGCTCGAGAGAGAATATACAGCAACTTTTCGAGCAGCGAATCCTTCAAATTTCTTGTAAGAATCTCAAAAACACACAGAGAGAAATTGTCGCTTCTCAGAATCTCTCTTTTTTTTTTTTTTTTCCTCTTCTCTCTCTTTATCTGGATTTGAAAGAGGAAATGTAAAACGCGGCGCAAAACTATTTTCCCTTTCGGAAAATTAAGACACATAAAAAGGATATTTTCGTAATTAATGCTTTCTTGTTTACTTATCTGCTTTTTTGCCACAAGAATAAGACAACGTTTTTAATTATTTTTTACTTAAATTTTAGAAGAAACCCATTTAAACGGGCCGGTCGCTTTCACGTCACGTAGAGACTATAAAAGCTGAATGAGCAGCTGCGCGAGTACAAAATTAAACTATACTCGCTGCTTAGTAATGTTAGTATATGATACGTTAGTATCCAGATTCTAACGTGGCGGCCATCTGATAGAGTGTAGTTAACACGTGTGCTTTTACGCGAGTGAGAAGTGAGATGGAAGACGCGTTACATGCTTCCGATGAACGACAGCTGTCATATGCTTCGACGGCTTATAATTTGCGGCAGTTAAAGCAGAGAGGTTCCGAAGCTGGCATGTGAAACGACACAAATATTTGCCGTTTTCAAATTGTTAATTATGATGGACATTTTAGGCCCAAGCTTGTTACAAAGACCAGTGACTAATTTTGTACTATTATTCTGTTAAATGTTAATGATGATCAGTATTCTTATGTAGTGCTAGCTGATTAGTCTTTTTGCTTTCCTCGAATCATAAATTTTGTTCTTGATATTTATTTATCTTTAGTTAATATAACAATCGTATTTGGTATGTATTTTGCACGGGCTTATATACAAATCATTTGGTAAAAAGGAGCTTGATACATATAATTGATTCTAGTATTTAATTAGCAATAATAATAATGGTTAATAAATTATTAATAAAATTATAGATGGCATTTTTTATTATGTGGTATAGTCATAAACAAACACTTATAATGTTGTTTTTCAATCTCACATCTAAAAAAATTTATATTTCAATAACAGTGATAAATGTCTTAAACACAATCTTTGGCATATATATTCAAGAAGTGGTTTAATCATGTTTCCAAAAGATTTATTGATCGAGAGTAAATAAACTTTCAACTTTCATATTGAAGTTTATATCGAGGAGCCTGACAAAAAATGAAGAAACATGTATAATTTTTTGTTTTTAGAAGAAAAAAAAATCAGGGTTTTTATTATAATACCATGTAATCTAAAAGAATGTAGTAATATACCAAATCGTTCTCACTCAACATCACATTGGATTTGACCAATGTTTGTACATTTTTTAATATCTAAATCACGTCATATCAGCTGCATCAAAAGGGAACTTAGTTGAGAAACTAGCCTAATAATATCGTTGTAGTTATAATCAAATTTGTTTCAAAAATATTGTCACATCGAATAATGGTGTTTTTGAAAAAGATGTGTGATAGAAACATGAGTTTGTGGTGATAGTGATTGACTCTATGAGTTTGCTGAACCGGATGAAAATGATAGTGGTATATGTAGCCACAAGTGAAGAGGATGTAAATGATAGTGGTGTACGTAGCCACAAGTGAAGAGGATGTAAATGATAATGGTTTATGTAGCCACAAGTGAAGAGGATAAGTTTAGGTGGAACTACTATGCCTGAGACAACACCTACAGATGGTTGGGAAGATTTCTACTTACTCTTTTTGATAAATTAATTTTTTTATATGCCCTAAACTGGTTATGATAAACAGAAAATTGATAAAATTGATAAAGAGATTCTTTGGATAATATATTCGGCTATAATGAGTAGAGCCATAAATATTATAAAATCAATAGAATAGATAACCATTTTAAAGTTAATTATTATAATTTAAATTAAATAAATGCATTTATCTTGGTGATGACATAATTCTGTTTGTTGTCAATTTTTCATACTTACAATTTTTATAAATAATTAGGAGAGTACCTACGCATACGCGCAAGTTTTTAGTTTTGTAAAAAAATTGATGTTAAACCGATTTTATATTTTATATATTATATATTATATTTTTATTAACTTAAAAAATTGGTTTATAATTCTAATTTATACAGCTGCATTAAAAATTATATAAATAAATTTATTAGGACTTTGATATCTTAATAATTTAAAAATTATTAATGAATCAAGTTCGAATAAAATAAATTATCAAATAATTATTAGTTTATAAAGAAATTGTTTTAAAGTTTATTAAAATATTGTATACATTTTTCTTCTAACTTTTTGAAGTTCAAAATATCATATAATTGTTATTTTATATTTGTATAATTGTTTTTACAGTAATAACTTATGATATTAGTAAAAAATAAGAAAACACTCTTAAATAAGAAACATAAATTGTTTTAATGATTTTAAAAACTACTAAAAATATATATTCAATAATTATTTTTGGATATTAAGTATATAATGTTGTTAAAATGTATTATCTAATACTTCATATTTTTCATATTTTTTTAGTATTATGATTAATAATACATTAATTTATGCATTAACTGTATTTTATATCATTTGTATCATTAAAAATAACACATGTCATTTTCACATTAAACCAAAATGATGAGGTGACACTCAACTGGAGAGAGTTAGCCATCTTTTATAATATAGATATGTTAACTAGGTGTTTTCCACACAAGGTGTGGAGTTCGATTAAATTTTTAAAAACTTAAGAGCATAAGTTTATTTATAAATAAAAAAATCAATGAAAAACTCAAATTTCATAATTATTTGAAATCAAAATTAATATATTTAAAAAATATAAATTTCATAAGATATATTATTTTTGACCGCATAAATCAAATTTTATAAGATTTAGAATTTTACTTGTGACCGCATAAATCAATTAGGTTAATCAAAAATATTAATACTTTAAACGATCAAATTAATATTAGTTTTAAAAATAATTAGAATTGATTTTTTGTGATTTATGCTAGATATATATATATTCTTATGATATACACTCAAATTTGGAAATTGGGATTTAAAAAACGAAAAAATTAATTAAAAATTATATTATATTAATTTATTAATTTTATTAAGGGTAACTAAAATCTTTTTATATAAAGAGTAAAAAGTAATCAACCATCATATATCTTAAGTCAATTAATAATATGATTTATAAACGTTTTAATGTTAAATTAAAATTGATGCAACCGATGGATCGTTTTTTTCCTTAAAAGTGATAATAACATCTATAAAACCGACTCACTGATTATCGTCGTACTTATGTGATTCTTATGTAACTATATTTGAAAGTTTCATATGCATGATACAAAATAATTTAAATTGTAACGACAAAAAAGAACAGACTTATTGTTATTTGCAATAGATTATTGCAGGAGTTCTCTCTTTTGAGTTGGTCTATTTGTTATCTGATATTTCTTAATTTTTATGCAAATTTTGTTAATTTTACTTACTTTATTTGCTTTATTTTTATAAAAATCATGTGTTCATGAAAATATAAGAGGAAAAATAACGCCATAAAAAAACACCCCTAAATTAGGAAAAATTTACTATAATTAAAATTTTGAGCTATAAACTAATATTTGTTACTTCAATATTCTTCCTAACAATTCCTAAGCATTACAAAAAAAAAAAAATCATCATCGTGTAGGCTTATGATCTCATTGAAGATGCCAATTTGCCACCATGCAAATGTCCGACCTCTACCTCTTTAAGGTACAACTTACAAATAATATATTTGTTTCAAAAATTATTCCACATTCATTTGTTTTGGTTTCAAAATTAATATGTTTTTCGATCATGAATCTTCAAAATTAATATGTTTTTCGATCATGAATCTGATGAAAGCTATAGTTGTGCTTTTTCGAGTTGTAGATACAATCCGTAAATTTATATTATGGACCTCTGGCTGGAGGGACAATCTCGTTGTGCATTGATACTTTCTATTTGTCACAGTAATCTGGCTTCTTGAGCAAACTTTTTCCTCAGATGATTTTCTATTTGTATAAATAGTAAAAGAAAAAGATCACAATACTTGAGAAACCGCCCATAAAACCTCTGCGTTGGTTTGCTAACATCGCTTCTTCGGCAATGGCAATGCACTTAACATAGGTGATGAAGCCAAAGGAGCCGAGAACAAACACTTCCGTCTCAAACATTGTTTCTGCTAAACACAAGAGGACCACTCGCAGGCAGGGAAAGCGGCAACAACAACACGAAGATCACTACAACGAGTGTTTACTAAACTTTGTGTTCATCATCGAGAAACTGTCGCTAAAAGTGAATCATATGATATTCAATTATGAAACATTATGATGCTATGATGGGAAACAAAACTTACATTTTGAGCTATGAACAAGAAAGAACACCTCTATTATAGTCGAGTAAATAATTATTTCTCTCGAGCCTATTAATTTCTCTCGGATATAACCGTTCTCATTCAACCATTTTCAATAATCTCGTGGCTATTTTACTAACCAATTCGACTATCATAATTTCTCTCTCGACTATTCCATTTATTCCCTTGGATAATTATCAGCTCAGCTCAGACCAATAATCGCCTTGTCCGAATTCCGACCAAGTACTCCAAAAAATCCGCATTATCGGAATTTAGCTTGTCAGAACCATGACTCCGGCTAAAACCATCTTTCTTCTGAGAGAGACTCCCTTTCTCTCGACTATCTTGTAAAACTCTCGGCTATCTTTCCATTTCTCCTGAGAATTAGCTGACCAGCTTGATTTCACTCGACCATTCTATCCTGTCTATGACCATAATGAAGCACACAGCTTGATAACTCCGTACTGAGTCCCAAATAGTATTGTCCAAAAGTGTAACCCATTTTCAGCCGGTAAGGTTTGCAGAACACGGGCGTTACACTTCTCCTCTTGGCTATAAAAGAAAGCCTTCATTCTCATTCCAACTCACAGTTTTCTCACAAACATCTTTCTCTCTCTCTCTTGTTCCAGCAAATCTTCTGTTCATTAAGTCTCGAGAGTTTAAGTAAAATTTTTAAGCTCGTAAATTCCATTCTTTGAGTGCTGCAAAACGGTCTCCCATCGGTTTTATCCTAGGACTCTAAATCGTACAGAACTATCTCACTACAAACGATTTTTTGAATTAAGGAAAGAAAATCAAATACTCTAACTCTGGTTTTTCGTTTATTGTTTAAAACGTATTTTTCTAAAGTCTTGTTTCTACTCTTTCTTTTTATAATATTATCGTCTATAATTATTTATAATCTTTTTGAGCGAGCTTTTGTAATTATTTTGTAGATTATATATGAGTTTCTCGTAAATAGTTACAAAAGCTCCATAAACTTTTGAGCGAGCTTTTGTAAATATTTCGTAGCTATTAAAAAAAATGTTATTACAAAGATGAAAGTCGAATTTAGTCACGTTTTCAATAATACCCAATTGTAAGTTGTGCCAACCCAGCAGGTGATGTTTTCATTTATATACAATTCAAATGGAAAGTCCACAATTTTCACACGAAAAACACGTGGGCAAACTTAAAAAGACATGCGGCCTAATTCCACAACCATTCAAAATAAAATCTTTATTGTTTAATATTTTGTACTTGCACATAGTGCATATATATTACGATTGAGGATGGGTCAAAACGATAAGATTTGAGCATATGTTCTATACAATCTAAACACTATAAGCAACTTGGTCATGTGGTGATCAATTCTTTGGACGTGATATATCAACGGTTTGTCTAGCTTATAATTTTTTTTCTTCTTCTTGTCAATATGGAAACAATGCCTCTAGGCCCTCTACTTTCTCTACTCATCATCCAAATCTTAGTTGTCTGAGTGTGTATTATACAACTAAGATTTCTTCTAGTAAGGCGGCGTGTGTATTATACTATAACGGGTTTTTATGTTCTCAATTAATGGGAGAGGAAAAACGTAGCTTTCTTAGTAATATTTAAACCGAAACCCAAATTTTAGAAAGATAATTTTAACTCTTACAATGGTAAAATGAAGAACCTAACTATATGTCTAATTTGCGACAACAGAGTTTTCAAGACTACGAGTTCATACACCAACGACCAATTCTTAGTCCGAAGAAATTGTGAGGTTAGGCATAGACACATGTAATTGTAGAGTCTTTTTGTTGCAATAAAGTTTGACATCTAAAAAATATATTGTGAGATAAGGTCCAGAACTTCTTACTTACAAACAAAATAAACATATATAGCTAAACCCTTCTTACTAAAAAAAAATTTGATTTGGACTCATATCTCATTTAAGATGATGATATTCACCACTCTACGTTTCAAAATAATGTGTTTGTATGCAAGCATAGAATTTCAATATCTATTAATTTATTTGATGGAATGTGTCATAGAATTTGATATAAGTTTGACCAAGACAAAAAAAAAAGTTAAAAAAATGGAGACTGGAGTTATCTTCTAAGAACATCTCCATTCATAGTATCTTGAGAAACGTATATCATTTAAAAGATGTTGACTTGAGAATCGTTTCTCAACTTCTGCCATATCAATTTTCTTTAAAAATAAAAATTAAATTACATAAAACAATTGGGTGCTCTAAGTGCCTCATATGGAACAAATTAAGGGCTTCATTTCCTTCGCTAGTAACCAAAAGTTTTATTGACCTTAAAATACACACGCCGTCTTACTAATATAGTGAACTCACACTCTTACCTAATCTTTTGTCGTCCACCAATTTATCGGTCCTAGTTTGATATGTTCTTAATAATAAAATAATTTCAGACTAGGTGGTTGGCCCGCACATATGTGCAGGTATAATTTTTTGATATACATAGTTAATTATAATATTTAAATTTTAAACATTTGTATGTTTGTATATATATATATATTGTTTTAATATTTCACAAATTTCTTTCTGAAATCAATGTATTTTAAAATTTTTTATTTTTATAATACTTGTAATAGTATATAATCACAAATATAAAAGTTATGGTAAATAATAATTAAATTCTTATAATATTAATATGCTTTATTTCTCCTTACACAATTTACAATATGCTTTTTTGCGTCTTACATAATATGAGTTTGTAAATACATATATAATATATTTTAAGTATATATTTTTCTTGATTTATTGCAAATTAAACTGAAATAGTTTTTACCATTTTTACTTATTCCTAAGAGCGGATAGATGGTTGACACGCATGTGCGGGCATACCAATCACTTTACTACACTTAGAATAATAAAGATTTTTTTAAAAAAATATAAATTGGATAAAAATTAAAATAAAAATTAGACTGTAATCAATCTTAACAAAATACATGCACAAAAAGTTCGCATGTGACTTCAACTAATGTACAACTAATATTTATATATGTACGCGTATTTTTTTTAAAAAAATTGACATATGGCTCTTACGTGTTAAAAATTTTCTAAGTGACTATGTAAAACAAAGGGCGAGAGATTTATTTTTATATACTTCTATTTTTATCTCTTATTCATATTGTTTCATCTTATTATAATTTATTCTTTCGTTCGGTTATTTTTCAATTCATTTATGATCTCAAAATTTTAATATACAATGAAAACAAAATTATGTATATATATATATATTAATATGATATAAAATTTTATTTTTATTTAAAATATGATAAGAGATAAGATGAGATGGTAACATAAGTTATGCACATTTTAGAAAATAACAATAAAAAGATGATAAAAGTTATAGAAAAATATATGGTTCTATTAATATTATAAAATAATAATTAGTATATACTTTATTCATTTAGTAAATATTGGTTTGAAAATATTTTTTTTAAATTACGTTTTTAAAAAAAAAATCAATAAAAGTTAATTATTTTTATTATTTTTAACATTTTATTCTTTATATTATTTTTCTCATGATTGTATTTTATTTAAAATTTTATTTAATAATTTGTTTATTTAAAACTTTTTTAGATTTAATTAATAACTTTCCGAAATAAAAATATATCATACTTAAAGTATTATTAATAAATATAATTTTTACTATTCTATTGGATAATTTAATTTAATTTTTTATTTTTATATGAAATTATAATATATATATATATTGATGAAAAAATTTCGTAATTATTTTTTATGAAATTATGAATATATGTAAAAAATTAAAATTATAATAGCTTTTATTTTCTGTTAATTTTAGTGTTATAAATATAATTTAGTTTATTTATGTTTTAATTCCATAATTTCTATAATTTCAATTCAATCAATCAAAACATTTCGTTTATTTTAGGAAGTTTGACATGTCACATTTACATGTCATCAATTAAAAGCACTAACTTTGATTGTAGTGTTGACAAATAAGCAATTTTTAATAATGTTACTTCTCAAATAATATGTAGTGGATTAAAACTCAAATGAATCTACACGGTAGTTCTTACAGATTTATGATATTTTAACCACTTTGTTTATTCCGCACCAACACTACATCAATGAGACACGTATTTTCCGCTATTATTTTCTTAGGAATGTTTTTTTTTTTTAATTTTTCTTAAACTTTTTGCTCCATTTATCGTCTTTCTATTCTTCCTCTAACGAAAAAAAAAATTAATTAAGTGGGATTTTGAAATTTGGAAAATTTCGATAGAAATACCTTTTGAAATTGGTATAATATTTGTACGAAGAAATTAATAATAGAGTATAGTTTACTGTGGTTTTGGTTCAAAGAGTTAGGCTAACGTCGAGTTCTACATGTTGCATGGTCATGCACAAATTTGGATACAATGGTGGGATAAGGTTAAAAGGAAGTGGGGGAATTGTATCATAAACGTTAACTACTTGTAGGCTTGTGGCCCTATGCTACACATGTTCTAGGACGATAGGTTGGGTTAGGCTGGCTATGCATGTTCATGTATGTATGCATCATGTGCCATGTGTTTTCATTCATCCACATGTACATATAGTTCCACCCAAATCAATTACATCAGAGGCGTGTCTAAGTTTATAGAACTCCTGTATGATTTTAGATAAATATTTCTTCCTTGTATTATCGAGTTAGTTTCTTATTTTCAAAACATAATTTATTTACACGCCAGTATTAGTTCCGATTGGATCCCATTTCTTATGACGATTTACAGTCTCAAGCATCAATAAAAACAAAACATACAAAAGGTATTTGTTAACAGCAAAAAGCATTATATATATTGAAGGGTTCTTGTACATACATCAAACAAACATTCTTTAACTAGAAAAAAATGTTAGATAAAAAAATCCCATATATATTTTCCATTAACTGTAGTTTTATTTATGTATAACGTCGAATATGTATTTATATAGTATATACTACCTCTAAACAATGAGGTAACCCCATATAATACTCCCATATAATTACTCGTATAGGAGTATAAGATATAACCCTCTTTGGACCGTAAAAAATATAACTGATTAATCAATTACCATTAAATAAATGCATTGGCCAAATATCATCGACGGTCCAACCGATTTCTTCGGATTGTTCAACTGATAATGGCATCATCATCGAATCCGATGAAGGCACATAATTGCCGTAATTCAGCTGATGATCCATATTATTGGCATGTTGATACGACGTCGTTGAAGAATATATCTCCATGGTTTCTTGAGTATTCAAGACATGGCTCGTGCTTGTCGCATGATCGTTTATGATCTCGGAGCTTTGTGATCTAACGGTTGTCGTTTCTCCTTGCTTGATGATGTATTTCTGGATTTTGGTCCTCCAAAAATTCTTTATTTCGTTATCTGTTCTTCCTGGTAAATGCTTTGCAATTTTCGACCACCTAACCATACGTAAGAATAATTAATCACCCCGACTTGATAATCTAACATGCGTTATGATGAACAAATGATTATATTCAAACTTAGATCCAAGCTGTGGCTGCATGGGACCAGCTAGATATGTCTACATCGAGCAAAAATATTAAGGTTTGCATCTATTTCTCGTTATTTTTTGAATAACAGTGAAATTTTGCATAAGCTTTGATTTTAGAACATCGTTAGACAAATGCTATTATATTTATATGGTGTGAAGGAGACTGAAAAAATATTGATCAATAATAAAATTTAATTTAAATGAAAATTTCAATTATACGACCAAATGGAATATCTAATTTTTCGGTATCTATCACTTTTATGTGTTGTATATCCGTGTTGAAAAAGTTATGAATACTGTACATGTAAAGAATTTTAATTATCCTAATAACAACAACCAAAATTTTCATTTCATAATCATTAATTTCGATTTTGAAAACTTTAAATAGTATAACTTCTAAAAGAGAGTAACCAGTGTAAAAATTATATGAGATGCCTTTTGTTGAGATAATAGCCATCAACCACACTGCCCATTTTTTTCTTTTCCAAACGCCATTTATTGAAAAATATCTTGAATGCTCTTTTTAATTCTTACAAACATAATTAATTGAGAAAGTTTTAGAAAAGACACTTGAACCAGTAGTTTGTGGGAAAATCGGCATGAGGTTTTAATGTTACTGGTGAGGAAATGTTGATTGTTGACACATGTGGAAAACTCAAGCATGGCTGAAAAAGAATCGGAAAGTTTTGACACCCACCAATATGTTGGGCTTCGTCACCTAATATCTTGCTTTGATGTCTTTTTACAGATCCTTTCAGTTTTAAGCCTCAAGAATATATATAGAACCGATCCAAAGTTCGTAAACTTAGTTTTTCTCTTGATTACACATATAAACAAATTACTAACCTTGTTATTTAGAATTTTATATGTATATTTTGGTATATGCTATAAACAAATTACTAACCTATTTCCCCATTTGGCATGAAGTTCCATGATGATGAGTTGCTCCTCTGCTGTGATATTTCCTCGTCGTACATCTGGTCGAAGGTAGTTCAGCCACCGGAGCCGGCAACTTTTTCCGGTGCGTTTTAGACCTATAATCCATATATATTAGTACTACAAATCAGTATGAAGAAATAAATATATATCAACTATATATGTGTGCATCAGTGCTCGCATGTAATAAAGAATAAACAGATTTTGTTTTCAAATTTATCAAAAAAGTTTCAGTGTTTTTAGTTGTTTACAAAAAAATTAATAGTATTTTTTAATAATTATAAAAAATAATAACCATATTATACAGGTAAAAAGAATATTTAACACAAAAAGAAAGCCAAAAGAATAAACCGTAACATCGGGTTTACCGGATTCCAACCAGACAGATTAGATTAGGTCTAAAAACATTGCTATTAGGTGCAGATTTTAGTAATTAGGAGCATTTATTAATAAATTAAGACTAATATAGGTTGCCGTTAGATGGTAGGTCTAGTTTATAAGCCCTAATTTGTACGGTGAATATAACCATCTGCTGATCAATACAAACAGAAACGATAGGTAGATTTCTAAAACCCCGTATAATTGTATGATTGTATAATTGTATATACATATACCGATATACGATAGAAATTGTGCGCAAAATAGAAAAGAAGAAACGATAGAACTTTGTAGGTGATCATTTCGTAATTGGTCCCAATAAATGTTTTTTTTTCTGGGATAAAATCCCAATGATTTTGCAATAGTTTATTTCATATAAAAAAATATTCTCTTAACTCAATTCTGTATCTATTCTGTAACAAAGCTCAAAATGGTATTCAACATAAGTTTATAATTTAAACATTGGAAACATAAAGACAATTAAATATATCTGCATGTGCAGGACCAAACCCTAGTTCATCAACACACACAGAGACACACACACGTATATGATCATAGATACTCGGATGATAATTATTGGAGATTAATAATTGATATATTTGAGATTAATTAAAACAAGAGATTCCATCACCTGCAGATTTGGCGAGAGAGTTCCAAACACCTTCACCATGGTTGGCGATATAATTGATGAGAATCAAATCTTCTTCCATCGTCCATGGCCCTTTTCTCACCTCTGGATCTCCTGATCCCGACCCACCACTGCTTTCTCTTTTCTCCATTTATATGAAATTATGTACTCTTATTTACTATAAATTATTGATCGATGAAGATATTTTCTAGAGAGAGAGAGATATAGAAAGAGATAGAGTATTCAAAGTGAGAGAGTTGATATTTCGAGTTAGTGGGCAGGTAGCTATTGCTTTTATAGAGAAGGTTTCTAAAATTTAACGCGTTATTAACAACATTTAATCTGAAATCTTAGTGATTTATTACTTGAAAGACTAAATACTAATTGAACACACTTGTTTTCATTTTTTACTTTATTTTAAAATTTGTCATAACACATGGGGAGCTATACAGCTTTAAAACCTAACTATTAATATCATATTGCATGATATATATTGTCTTTTTTCACATGCATAAATATACGTACATTACATAATCCATCTTCGATGACATTAATCTTTTATATAACTGTGTTGTTATGGTTTATTAACTTGATACATTAATTAACCTGCATATGCAGGTTTATTGGTACACTAGGGAAAGGGATTAAGCCTTTACGCCAACGAGCTCGAATCTCGATATTGGGAGAAATTACTTAATTAGTCTGTTTTGGCCATTATATGAAGATATACGAATCAAAACCCCGATAGTATTTTTCTAGTAGTTAAAACAGAAAATCGTTGGTGCACTTGAAGACAAATACGTATCAATAGAAACGAATTCATGATCATGATCTTACTTTTAACCAACGGTAATCTAATTTCAGTTATGTAATAAAATATTTCTTATTTTGTCATCGATGTCCAAATGGGATTAATGAGATTGGTTAGAAATATAAATACCACATATCTGTGTTGTCGGATCCAAATTTGAGTTATGTTTTGAAAGAAAATTAATTAACGTATTGTGAAGTTAGAACACCTGTTACATCCACATAGGTCATCAAAGTTAATTTCATTCATATTTTTAAAAAATAGATGTATACCGAAAGTTCTTAACTTCTAATTAAGATAACAAAGATAAAAGTTTTATGAAAACTATATGAATCGTTTGTGCGATTAAATCCTAAACAATACTTTAATCTTATACTTAAAATGTGTTAAATATAAAATATTGATATCACCGGTATTGTCATATAGATGGCATAGACTAAAAACTGATATTCTGGTTCTTTGTATTTCAATCTTTTGCAAATATTTGAAATTTATATCATAAGATACAATACATTCAGAGTGCAAATGGTTGTATGCTAGAGTAAGAAAAGGAATAATGATGAGTGAAAAAAAATGAGTTGAATAATTTTATATTCAACTAGAATTTTTCAACAGTGTTACTCTCCCATTTTGTAGAGTACAAATTCTAGAGGAATAAGGCTTATTTTTCTCCAATTTAGTGGTACCCAGTTTAATTTAGAGGAATCCAAAGGAATATACAATTCTTTTCAATTTTGTTCCTATAAAGTGTTAACCATTTGCACCCTCAGTGTAAGCTCAGTGTAAAGCTTGAGAGGCATCTAAACTAACATAGTTAGATGGTTATCCAATAATACAATCAAAATGTAAACCTTTTTAGTTGTAATATTCAAAATTTATGACATTTATTACTTTTTAATGGTAGAATTTTAGAGGAATCCAAAGGAATATACAATTCCTCTCAATTTTGTTCCTCTAAAGTGTTAACCATTTGCACCCTTAGTGTAAGCTTGAGAGGCATCTAAACTAACAGAGTTAGATGGTTATCCAATAATACAATCAAAATGTAAACTTTTTTAGTTGTAATATTCAAAATTTATGACAATTGATTTTGCTTTATTATTTAATAAAAAGATTATAGTCTTCAAAAACTTAAACACATAGGTTAGTTTTCAAATTTCAAAAATAAAAATAAATGAGAAAACCAAATTGAAATTCCTTAAGAATATGAGATGCCTTTTATTAAAATTCCTTTATTTTCTATTGACGAGCTCATTGTTAGTAAAGTAATTTTAATAGTTTATTTTATTTTTAACTAATTAAAAAAATCATGGATGTTTTTATTTTATTTGGGCTTAATTTATATGGACCGTAAACCTCTCAACATACATTTATAGAGTTATACTTGACTTAAATCATAATGTAGCATAATGTATTCTCAAATCAAAATATTTAGTTATAATTTCATATGATTCTTTTTTTATTTGTATTGGATTTTTACTTCAAATATATTATGATAAAGAAAAGTCAAACCTTATTTTCAGATAAACTTTTATTAGAGTTTTGATTTTTTTTTTATATTTAAACCTTCATGTAGGAATGACAAAGTCATAAGTTATCTGTATAAAAGCAATAATTTATTTTACCTAAATAACTAATCAAAAAAAATAAAAATCTTTCACCATCAACCTTTATCAAGATTGAGTCATAATTAAGTATCAAATAAAGCACGATTAGTATTTATCCATATATGGAAATGCATTGATTTGCCCCATCAACCTGCAGTACTGCGTAGAAACGCCTGAAAACACTATTTTTAAAAAATAATATAGGAATGAAAAAATATAAACAGAAACATATCTAAATTATATTAAAATAAAATACTTAAAAATAAATTTCAATACAAAATTATTAAATAGTAATATTGTTTAAACTTAAAAACTTAGAAAACCTTTTTCATCATCAATTTTATTAGTTTTATCCACCAAAAATATTTACATCGAATTGTAAAAAGATTTTCAAACTAAATAATACTAAGAAATAATCTCATACGAATCAAAATTAATTATTAACTTAATCTAATGAATTGAATTAATTATTAACTTACTATAAATAATTAAATTGATTACTTAATTAATCTTGCTTTTTATAATTGTTAATTTATTACTAAAAATTAAAAATAAGTTTCAATCATGTTTTCAAAGTCGAAATAAATGTTTTATTTAATTTTTCAAATTGATTTTTTTTTTAAAACGTAATTTTTGTGTTTTTAACAAGTTTTCGAAAGTTTTAGTTTTTGACGAGGAAAATAGGTAGAAAAATCCTGACCTGAAGTCTTTTTGGTGTTTTCTTTTACCCAATTAGGTCTTTAAAAGGTGGTGGTAACAACACTCTTACATCTCTACGCATAGGCCACAATTCCATAGCACTGTTAGGTTTTAGTATGTGTTTATATCACATTTTTCATTTAGGAATTAAAATCCATTCAGAAACCAACAATTCTGGGATACGAACATTTCAATTCTTAGCTAATAAAGCAGAAATCATATGAGAGCATGGAATACCACTGACCTCATATCGACGACACGGGCAAGAAATTTCATTTCTTACATTAACACTATATTTATCCCTACCATGATCAATCTCATACCAACCTCTTCCTCCGCAAATTGGAGTGCAATCTTTTACTTTTTTTCTTCGTTAATCGAGTAACTTTTTAACATGTGGGTTTACCTCTCTTTTGTATCCATCTATTATGCGTATCTTTCCTTCATTGCTTATCATGACATGTTTTATAATATCTTCAAGCAACCCAACTAGTTGTTTAAACCGTCCGTCATTGATCACATTGTTTAACAATTTACTCATATTGTTTTCAACAGCATCACATTTAACAAAACCTATGAAAAAAGCTCTACAAGATAATACAATGAAAAATGAATAAAATACTGAAATTAAGTTTAAATTTTATGTGAGTACTATGATAATGCAGAATTTTTTCATACCTGGACCAATGACATGCATACCATCGCATAAGACATTCATAAGCTTGATGATTTAAAAGCTTAAAATCTTCTACTCTGTGTTCAAAAACTCTTATATTATATGCTTTTGCCATCTTCCAAACTGCAATATGTAAAAGACCTATTTTATCACCGTACTTCTTGTACAAGTTAGCCCATATGTATCTAGCACACATTCTATGCTCGCAATAAGGAAGAACTGAATCTCTTGCTGCAATCAGACATTTCTCCTGATCTGAAACAAGAGTTAGACCATTTCCTAAACCAAGGTCCAAGTCCTCTTGTAGTAATGTCATAAACCCTCCCAATTTGGCTCGTTCTCCACATAAACAATAGCCCATGCAACATGGAACATTTTATCATTAGCATCTTGGCTAACAGTTATAAGTACTTCACCTTTTATATATTTTTTTGTAATTTATTAGTAACATTTTTTGTTTATAAAATTTATAATTTAAAAATATTTATTTTATTTTTTTGCAAAAACTTTTATAAAATTATAACAATATTAAAATTAAATATTTATTATACAAAGAACATCACACTACATCATATAAAATGTAATATATTTTAATTTATAAAATTATCTACGATTAAATTTGAAATGAAAAATAAAGTTTATCTTTAAACATATTATATGTTTTCAAAATTTTGTATTATATTTAGTCATATTACACATTGGTTAGATGATTGTTTAATAAATATTATATAAACATTTAATTAAATTTTATATTTGTTATGTAAATAAAAATAAAAAGATATAAAGTTGAAGAATCAATTTAAAAATATAAAATTTAATCTCTGTTATAGAGGAAGAAATAGAATTCCTCCAAATATAGAGGAAAATATAGCATTCTCTATTTTAGAGGAAAAAATAGAAGTGCGTTGGAGAGAATTTTCCTCCAAACTCTATTTTTTCCTCTAAAACAGAAATACATTGGAAATGCTCTTGTTATCCATCCCTGCTACATGTCTGTGTTACTAAATTTATATCATTGTTGACTAGCACTTGTGAAGTCTATAGGTTTGTTGACCAAAAAGTAAAATACGCATAAAAAATGTTACAAAACTTATTTGAAATAAATTTTTACACTAATTAGTGAAACAAGTACAAGTGAAGTGATTTTTTTACACTAATCCTTATTGAAGATTCGTGTTATTTGTGGAAGCGACAAAAGATTGAAATATCATAGATGTGTTCCATGTTTATGTCTGAAGTCAGAGATTGAATGTCGTATTGGTTTGGTAAAGAAAAATACGCATTGTAGTAAGATAGTTAAGTGGTCTGGTTCTCTTTCAAGAGTTCGAACCTTAGGTTGTGTCTAGTTTTTTTATCAAATTATTTAAGATGACGTAGTTTTAATAACTTATATACAAATTGTAAAATCTATGCACGAGTCAGGGTTATACTGTGAATTGACCGAGATCTCGAGGATTAACCTGCATTTTTTGATAATTAAGGGTACGATTGCAAAAAAAAAAACATTTAGATTAATTCACAGAAAACTTTTTTCTACAAATATCAGTGCTACTTTTCTAATAATTTTTACTCATAGACTAATGTTACATTAACTATAGATTACTAGCAGGCTAACTGACTATGCAATTGAACATATATTAAATGCAGACTACTGACAAATTAACGGTAAATTGAATGTACTTTAGTGAACCAATCTTGTAGATTATTTTAAGAAGAGTCATGTTTCATAACAAAATTGTCAAATAAATTATTTCAAAAGTTATCCCAAGATTTTAATCATGAATCAGGAAATTTTCAAAATTTAACCAAAAATTTTCTGTATAAAAAGTGAGTTTTAATATGAGAAAAGTAATACATATAACACTAGATTAGAACCCGCATACACGTAGGTTTTGTAATAAGTTATTTAATAATTTATCAAAATAATTAAAAATTAAATTAAATTAATTGTTGAAATATTATTATATTTGTTCTTAATTAATATCTTTACAGAATTTATATCTTAGGGATAAAACTAATTGTTATCGTATTTTAAATTTGAACTAAACCGAACTAATCTAAAAACCAAATTTATCCGAATTTGAACAAAAGACAAACAAAACTTCGGACCAATCCGGCAACAAATTTCAAAAACCAAACTAATTGGAACCAAACCAATCTATAATTTTGTTCGGTTTAATTCAGTAAGAAATTTCAAATCCAAACTAACCAAATAACGTGATAAACCAAATCGAAGAACACGAACTAACTGAAGCCGCATCCCTAGCCACCATCATAGCTAAATCCATTGGAATACAAAAAATAATTAATTTATCAACTAAAATATTAACAAAATAAAATAATTAGATAATTTTTTAAAATAAAAGTCAGATATCCTTTTCGAAATAAAATAACAGAATCACAATCATGATTCAAATAGAACTTAGTTCCCATATATGATGACAAACAAATTACACCTTGATAATTTTGATCAAAACAGGACTTTAATCTCATATGCTCTCCTGTACAGTCCAGAAAATTTAACTGTCTCCCTCTAATCTCACTGCCCCCTTTCTGCAATGAATTGACTGTTTAGTCTTTAATGAATAAACAAAAAAAATCAAAAAAATGAAAAAGAATTTCGGGTGGTTTGGTAAGAAATTTAATTCAAACCAACCTAAAATTAATTGTCTAAACCAACCAAACCAACCACCAAAATTTTTGCACCTCTCGTCGTCTTCTTCCTCTCATGTTTCCACCATTGACAAAATCAGAGGCGTGAAATTGAAGGTTAGTTGTTGCTGTTTCTTATACTATTTTCGATTTCTTGATTGAATTATCAAGTTTATGTCATAGGCAGAGCAAATAATACATAATTTCTTCTCAATTAGAGAATTTCATAGTAAAGAAATTTTTGATTTTTTTTTTGCTCATTGGAGCTGTGGAGCTAGTTGGGTAAGGCTATTAGAAACTGATATTGTTAATTAAATATGATATCTTGGTTAACTGAGCAATGAATCGTAAAAACTAGTGATGATTCGTATGATGAACCAAACTTTCTGGGTACTACTGGGTACAACTAGCACAACTGGACATATTAGTACGAGTAGGATCAACCAAACTTTTTGGGTACAACTAGCATAACTGGACATATTAAGTGAATTTAGTACGACTAGGATTAACCAAACTTTCTAGGTACTACTGGGTACAACTAGCACAACTGGACATATTAAGTGAATTAGTACGACTAGGATGAACCAAACTTTCTGGGTACTACTGGTATAACTAGCGTAACTGGACATCTTAAGTACGACTAGTAAAACTGATACAACTATGATAAGATTACCTTACGATTGTTTTGTTCTTTTCAGGGGAAATGAGTAGCAGTGGTTGCACAGTCATATGTTTTGATTATGGGGGGTTCTATTCAAAAGATGGTGATAAAGTTATTTGGAATTCTGTAGAAGATGAGAATCACACTTTAGTGATGAGGAAATCTTTGGAGGATGTCACTTATCTTGGATTAGTGGAGGGAATTTGCAAAAAGGTTTTGATAGATGCAGCTACATCTCAGCTGAAAATTAGTTACTATCCAATGGTCTTGAACATGAAGAAACCATTATATATTTGGAATGACGAAAATGTTTTTGGTTATCTACTACACATGAGTAAGGATCAATGTAGAAGTGTTAACATGTGGAGTTCATCAAGGATGTGTATCAAAGTCATGGAAGCGTGCATGTTTCAAGAGAGGATCATGGAGTTGACGTTGATGTAGGTCCAAGTAATGATGAGATGTTTTCTACCGCTAGAGATGGTTTAGAAATACCGGACAGTGAAATGCAAGACAATGAAATGCCAGACAATGAGATGCCAGAAAATGATACAGATCCTCTACAAAGATATGAGCTCGTGTATGATGATGATACAGAAGTCAGACATTCTGATGGAAACTCGCAAGTAAGTCATGGATAGGAAGATGGTTTAGATATATATAAAGGTCAAGAATTTGACACTAGGCAGGGACTGCAAGCTCTCCTGCAGAAAGGTGCACATGAGAATGGTTTTGAGTATGAAACGAAAAATTCTGATCCCATACGTTTCGTGGTAAAATGTTGGGGAGCAAAAGAGGGATGCAAGTGGGGTTTAAGAGCTTCTGTGCGTATGAACTCAAATAGTTTCACTATTGTCACTTACAACAAGGTGCACACATGCTCTCGGGTTACTACAAGTACAATCAGACAAAAAAGGAAAGGCACACCACACTTAGTTGCAACTGTTTTGGATGAAGACTATCCAGGTCGATTCGACACACCAGATCCAAAAACGCTGATCAATATGGTTCAAGGCAGGCTTGGCGTGAAAGTATCATACTCGACAGCGCTGAGAGGAAAAAACAAAGCTGCTAATGAGGTGCGGGGAAGTTCTGAGGAGAGTTATCGGTGGCTATATTCTTATTTGTACATGCTAGAGAAAGTGAATCCGGGTACACGGACTTGTGTGGAATTAGATGAGCAGAAAAGGTTTAAATACCTATTCTTTGCATTGGGAGCTTGCATAGAAGGGTTTCTATCGATGAGGAAAGTCATCATTATAGATGGAACCCACCTGAAGAACGTATTTGGTAGAGTTCTAATCGTTGCTTCAGCTCAGGATCCTGATTATCATCATTATCCCATTGCTTTTGGTGTAGTTGATGGTGAGAAAGATGCAAGTTGGACGTGGTTTCTGAATCAGTTGAAGTCAGTAACACCAGATGTCCCTGGAATGGTGTTTATTTCGGATAGGAATCCAAGCTTGATCTAGTCAATAAGGGAAGTGTTCCCTCTGTCTCAACACGGGTATTGTGTAAGGCATTTGTCACAGAATGTGAAAGGACACGTTGCCACCCACAGAGATGCATGTGCGAAGAAGTTCA